CTCATCCACAACATGAGTTGGATCACCGCATCTAGTGCACTGTCCCCTATCCCTTCTGCGGCGTGCCCGACGATCCATTTTCATGCGATATCTTCTCGTTTGCACGCGACCGGGTCCAGGCTTCAAGATCATCCTCTCCCAGTGTGGTATCAATTTCCACTCGACCGGCGCCCATGTATCCGGATTACCAATCGGAGCAAAACTCCAATTGCTAAATTGAGCTACCCAGTTCTCCGTCCAAAAATACTCACTGTACAACAGTTTTGGGTCAGTGCCAACTGAACGCCAAACTGCTAACGCATGAGAGCATGGTTTCCTATGCGTCTGCCACTTCCGACAACTACAACGTTTTCGGTTGTAATCCACCTTATACCTGTAATAATTCCTCAGTGATTTATATATATACAATATGAAAAAATTGAATGAACAAAGAAAAAAAAAACATATGCTTACTTGTTTTGCCGTCGTCCACTAGCCCGTAAACCGGTTTCCACTTCGTACATGGAGCTGTCGGCGTCCCTAACTCTCACACTATGAGTGGCGGCTGTCTTCTCCAATTGCAAAAATGCGTTAGAGTGCTCCCTAGCAATGGGATTCCTGCATCTCGTGGACTTGTTTTGTTTCTGTTGAAACAAATCCAGAGTTTTATGAAATGTGGCGTCTACCAAAGCTCTGCACGGCAGGAACCTAACCCCTTTCAGGACGTTGTTGTAACTTTCCGACATATTCGTTGTCAATGTGCCCCATCTGCGTCCTTGATCTTTAAATAGGGTCCACTTGTTCAAAGGAATTCGAAAAAGGTAATTGTGTGCTTCGGAACTCAATGCCAACAGTCGCTGTTCTGTCTCTCGAAACTTTCGCTCCGACAACTGCGAACCCAATTTCCAACACCAAGTCCGAATTTCCTTACTCCTGAACTTAGTCACCAAGTTGCTTCGAAGGTGCCGAAGGCAAATCCGGTGATACGCAGCGGGTTTTTGCCAATCTGCTAATGATTCAATGGCACTGAGTAGGCCCGCATCCCTGTCGGAAAGAACGCAGATCCGTCTCTGGAAGACTACATATTGCCGCAGATTCCTAAAGAAAAATGACCAACTGTCCGTGCTTTCTTCATCGACAAGCGCATACGCGACTGGCAATAGCCGCTTATTCGCAGTCTGTGCCGTGGCCACAAGCAATTTTCCCTTGTACGATCCACGCAAATGTGTGCCATCGACGCTAATAACCGGCGGGCACATTTGAAAAGTTTGAATGGCGGAACCAAACGCCCATAATACAAATTTGAATTGTCTGTCTCGAAGTTGTCGCGCCATTTCCCCAGCCTGCCATTCCCACTCTACAACTGTGGAGAGATTCGTTCTTTGCAACGCGGCAAAATACCTACACATTACAAAACGATTTCATAATAAATAGATAAACATAGCGACGGACATTAAATAAATATATTATATTTGTAAATAATTTTTGTTTACTGAGGGAGTTCTGCGAAGTTCGATTCCCAAGTGCCATACACACTCTCGATGGCTTTTCTCCTTCCGTGCCATGCCTTCTTGTAGCTGACATCCACTTTCTAGCACTGTTTCACATCAGCCTGGATCGTGTCGACGCCGTACTCCAATTTCTTTCGAATCTTATTACGAATGAGATTAGAAATCATTTGGGCGGTTACATTTCTGTGGTCGTTTCTCTCGACCGGTTGCATACAAGTGTGACTATCAGTCCATTCCGTTAGTTCCCACAATTCATGAACCCGTTTGGACTTAGTCACCCGAGCCTTCCACAGACAAGGCGGATCTTCACTAGATCTGCAGACCACTTTGTATTATTTTTTATTCGAATCATTTATCCGAATCTCCCGCAACCTATCGACCTTCCAAGCCATCAGAGCCATTTGGGCTTCTTTCTTGCTCCGAAAAACTATACCCAAACGTATGGTCTCAATGTCGCTATTCCAGAGTGGAATAGCATACTCGTCCTTATCTATCCTGGACGGGTCCCATTCACTCATTTCGTGGTATACGTGCCGACCACCACTAGGAAAGGGGTGTTCTTCTTCAATGAACTCGGCTTCACTCTTCTCATTTACCGATCTATCTGATTCGGTTTCTGAGGTCTCGTCTGTGAAATCATCTTCACCGAGTGCGAACTCTTCGTCACTTTCTTCCTCGTCCTCATTTGCCCTTTCTCTAATTGGTGAGCTTGTCTCTTCTCCAAAATTATGTAGATGAGAAGTCGACGTGCCCTCATCCATTCCCCCGTAATAAGGAGTAAAATCCTCAAACTGTGGAACATGTATAATTGCCTCCAACGATAAATGCAAATACACAACGGACATAGGAGAAGATAAATAAATCCATTGCATAGCACTATCGTTATCGAGTCTTCCGGCATTCCACGAACCATCGCGTTGACGAAACATTAAAGTAATCTGTTCAATTGTCCAACCTTCTCCAAACCGACAATTTTCATTAATCATCTGTACCAATTCTGCATATGATATCCTCCCCGTAATAACAAATGAACCATCCGGACGATCTATAAATGAAACAAATTGTTCTTTTGCACATCGCCAATACAAATTAACAAAATATGGACCGCAATACGCCATTTATTCCTGTTGCAAAAAAAACTTTCAATTCTTCCCAATTACAACAACACATAATGTGTAATCCAACACCCAAAAAATTCAATTATCCTTTAAACCCATCTTTTTAAAAAAAAAAAAATCCCAATCGATTAATCCTCCAAATAACCCATAATCCAACAGTAACATATTATTCACCTCTATTTCGAATAAATTGAAACCTCTAATTCTAATTCTAACCCTAATTTCAAAAAACCCAAAGTCCAACAACAACCAATCAATACACAATTGACAATTTAGAACAAAATTACAATCTCCAATTCAACATACACACATAATCGATAAACAATTAACAATTCACAATCTTCAAAAACCACCACATTCAAAAATACTATAACAATTACCAATTTCCAAACAACTCCAAACAATGTCAAAAGTTGAGATAAGCCAATATACCTTGTGCGAATGACTTCACCGGAAATGAGGTTCATGTTGTTGTTGTCGATTCACGTCGGGGTGGCGATTGGATCGATTTTTTTTTTTCTTTTTTTTTTTCCCGATAAGCTCTCGCTCTGTGAGGAATGAAGTCGCGCAAATGAAATGGGAAAGAAGAGAAGAAAATTTGTTTTATTTTATTGTAAAACAGAATTATTATATACGTTTTTATACATATTTAATTGTAAAACGTATTTATTAAATACGTTTTAATTATTTTTTTATTAATTAAAAACGTAATTATATTATACGGTTAAAAATATTTTTTTTTTAAATTAATTTTTATGAGTTAAAAACGAATTTAATAAATCCGTTTTTCAAAACCCTAAAAATCGATCAATTTAGGGTTTTATAAAACGGATTTATTTAATCCCTTTTTTAAACCCCAAAAAATCAATCAATTTAGGGTTTTATAAAACGGATTTAATAAATTCGTTTTTCAAAACCCTAAATTGATTGATTTTTGGGGATTTGAAAAACGAATTCAGTCAATCCGTTTTATAATTTTTAATTTTTATTCCATTCATCTATTTTTGAAAGGAAATAAATATTTTTAAAATTATTCAAAATTAAATATAAAACGTATAACATAAATCCGTTTTTCTAATAAAATGTTATTAGAAAAACGGATTCGTTAAATACGTCATTTTTATTTTTTTCTACTCTTTTTTTATTTTTTTATTTTTTTATTTTTGTTCACTTATTATTATTTTTTTTAAATAAATAAACTACCCAAGCATCAAGATGGATAAAGACAAAAGTGAAACTAGGTACTATGGCAAATAACCTTCTATGGGATGCCCTTCAAGAATTTTTGCGCAAGACACGATCACCATCAATAAACCGGAGAGAAAAATCAAGAAAAGAGATTCTATAGCTTCAGCAAGAAAACTAGGCATCAAAACCTGAAAAGACAGACTTTGCTTATATAAGTTCTTCTCCGAAAAAAGAGAATGAAAAAAAATCAAGCATGAAAAACCACGCACATGTGCCAAGAACTATCCTTCTTAGTAATGAGTATTGCGGATTTAACGCAAGGACTCAAGCTATGTCAAATCACCCCACCTTGCAAAAGCTCCTCCACATGTCGACATAGCTCCTCATGCTTCTGAAATTTTACCCCAGTCGCAATTTTAGGCTTACCTTGTCGTTTCCTAGCCAACTTGAACAACTGCCGAGTCCAGACCAACGCCACCAGCTGGGCCTTCGGCACCTTCTTAAAGTCGAGCACATTCTCGACCGCGCACAACCAATCCAAGAAACTAGCGGCGTCGAGACCTCTTGAGAACTCGGGAATATAGAACCAGGAACTCGCCTCCCACCGTCGGTCGTCGGCCCCTCGCGCCGCCTCATGCACGTCGGATGGCCCAAACGGATTGTCGCAGGATATTGTTTCTTCAAATCGTCGTCCCCAATGCAAGAAGGCGACGAATAGGAGTGGGGCGCCCCGCGCAATCCCTAACCACAATCTCCTCGCGCTCCTTTGCGCCCATCGCGCACTGTGGCCAAAAGCCGTCAGCGCCAGACGGATTTCTTGGACTGCGATCGACAACGATTCAAACTGACGTCCCAACATCGCGATTTCCGTGTCGCGCCTATTGTTCTCAACATCTTTCCTCCTTGGCGGCATAGTTTAGGAATTATACCAACTGATGTAGCGGAAACGTAAACGCCAGAAATATTTGAGAGAAAACCCTCAAATATATTTTTATTCAATCAAAATAAACCAACTAGAACAATAGGAGATGAGTCTATTAAATAAAACTCATAAAAGCCCTAAGTAAATAACTTGCCTAACAAGAAAAAGATTAGGAGAAATAATTAATAATGCCTACCAAATCTTATATGCAAATAATAATAAAATAAAGAAAATAATTATTTAAATTAATAATGCTAGACGATCATGCTTGTCCAAAAAGGTCAACACAATCTCTTCTCCATCAGGTCGCTGAATCATAGGTTGATAATGACTCCACCAACTAGGAGATGCGCAAATAGATCGAGTTAGGGTCATGGCCTCGAAGCTCGACCTGGAGATATACGGGTCGATGGATCGACCTGAAGGACAGTACATGGGCACAATGAGGAGACAATCTAGCTCGACGGGAGCCAAGCTGGTCGCATGATTAGACCATCTAATAATGAAGATAAGAGATAAAAAAGAATATTATTAGGATAAGAACTACACATGGATTGAACCACGTGTCCTAACAGAACCGGGCACTCGGGCAACCCATCCGGGCAAGCTTGGGCAATAAGATACCACCCATATATAGAATAGAATGAACGGTAGAAGATGACATAGAACAAGTCACCTACAAATAAAATCAAAGAGTTTATCAGAAATCCACTTGTGTCACTCAATTACAACTACAACTGGAAGCTCTTTTCAAAGATTTGAGGGCTCGTTAATACTCCTTGGATGGTTTTCAACAATGTTAACCAACCTTTGGCTACAGTATTCAAATTGCTATCAACATAATACAAAATGCACAATTGTACAACAGAAGAACACACTAAAATGCCTTCTCAGTTACAGCCTTAAAAACACCCAGCAAATTCTAACACCACCAAACAATACAGAGGCCTCATTTATCAACAATCACCACAAAGGACCATCATCTTATTTATTCCTTTATTCGTATAATTAAGGATGTTTTATGAGCCTGGCCATCCTTAAACCTGAAGACCTTTACAACCCGGAAGATCGCGCCACTCGATTTGAACCTGAACTTCTCCACACTCGGCATTCCTCAACCTAAGAATCATGTCCTGGACCATATTGCCCTTGTTCCACACCACACAGCTCTCATCCACCAAACAGTTTTCATGGCTTGGCTGAACTCTTTCGACTTTGGTCCCCTCCGGGAGACTTTGCAAGCCCATCTTCACACACTCTATTAAAGGCTTTATGTCGATTTTTGCATTTCCCATATTATCATCATTGGTAAACGTGTCCTTATCATACACGGACTAAGAAAAAAAAGTAACAAGGATAATTAATTTGAAATATTGTAAAGATGGAATAGAACAGAGAGACTAGGTATGGGGAACTCACGATAGTGATGGGGGCATTTAGGTCCTTGATGTAAATGGTCAGCTCTTCATTCCAGACAGGGTTGCAGTTGTCCTTCACGACTCCGGTTTTCACCCTCTTCAACAATTAATATAGACAGAATTTGAGAGTTTGTGTGTGTGTGTGTTTAATAGATATGCATTTATGGCGAAACGGGCTAGGAATCTTGCATTTGTTCTAAGTTTTCTAAGTTTTCTTGATGTTCTATAAACGTACTTATGAAATCAAACTGAGACGTAACTCAGAAGAAAATATAACAGTAGTAGAGAGTTGTGCACATAACACCAAGAAAAAGAAATTAGAAAAGTTGCGGTGAAATAGTTGCAGAACCCAATAGATAGTTAAAATGTATATGCAAGTATTCAGTGAACTCCCTAGGGCTGGGATGTATTGAACTATACAAAATATATGCATAAGTTCACCTTTGGCAATCGAGCTAGGAATTATATTACAGGAGATCTAGGATATGGCCGAGGACACCAGAAAAAATTTGGTTTTTAAGACAAATTGAATTTGATTTGTACTGTTGTTCTTTCTCAAATTTGAAAGATGACAAATACTAAGATCAATTTACAACTCATTGAGAAACTCCAGAAAATTCTTCACGATTTTTCTTAAGAGAGACAGAGAAAAAGTTCCTACTAGTAATTCCTACCTGAAATTTATGCTTTCACTTAAGAGCACTGTACAAAAAAAATTATCATCATACAATACAAACATCACTATTAGCTAGCAAAAAAATCAAATCCTTCAATCAAAAGTATACTACTAAACAAGGAAAGAAAAAGGTTTTTTCATCCTGAAAAATAATCTGGTCGCTGCAATTGGAGATTTCAAGCTAAAACCTGATCTGAACCAGCTAGGTATATCCATCGATTGTCAATTATGTTAAAGTTGAATACCAAAAACGGGAGAGTAACACTAATTTTCTTCTCATCCATGTCCAAGCCTAGAAAAGCCTGTTTGAAACATGAAACTGACTGTAGAAGCAGATGAAAATTAGAAACATCGACTGACCTGCGAGCCACATTCGACAGCAACATAAGGATCACTTGTCCTCGTGTCGCGAACGGCAAGATTGATGCCTCGGATGACGCGAATTTTCAAAAGACCCAGAGCATCCATGGAAGAACACGAATTCCCTTTTTT